GAAGGCCCCAGTGGCACAGTTCGCATGGCGGCCCCGCCTTACTTTGGCGCACCTCTCACACGTTCCGTGGCCACAGCAGCTCCACCGAAGGCCCCAGTGGCAAAGTTCGCATGGTGACCCCGCCCCATTTCGGCGCACTCCTCACACGTTTCGTGGCCCCGTAGGGAGCTCCACCGAAGGTCCCAACGTTTCGTGGCCCCATGGGGAGCTCCACCGACGGCCCCAGTGGCAAAGTTCGTATGGCGGCCCCGCCCCAGCACCCCTCACACGTTTCGTGTCCCTGAGAGGAAGAAGCTCCACTGAAGCCCCAGTAGCAAAGTTCGCATGGCGGCCCCACCCCATGTCGGCGCACCTCTCACACGTTCCGTGGGGAGCTCCACCGAAGGCCCCAGTGGCAAAATTCGCATGATGACCCCGCCCCATTTCGGCGCACCTATCACACGTTTCGAGGCCCCGTAGGGAGCTCCACCGAAGGCCCCAGTGGCAGGGTTCGCAGGTTCGCATGGCGCCACCGCACCCATTTCAACCCCTCACGCTTTTCGTGGCCCCACAGGGAGCTCCACCGAAGGCCCCAGTGGCAGGGTCTGCACGGCGCCACCCCACACATTTCGGCACACCGCTCACACGCTTCGTGGTTCCACCGGGAGCTCCACCGAAGGCCCCACTGGCAGGGTTCGCATGGCGCCACCGCGCTCATTCCGCCACACCCTTCACGCGTTTCGTGGGCTCACAGGAAGCTCCACCGTAGGCGGGGCTCACAATTGCGGTACTCACAATTGCATATGGATGGGTCCTTCGCCAGGATAACTCCATCCAGTTCAACCAAGCGGACCTCTCGCGCCGCGCGTCGAAATCGCTCGAACGTCATTGTGCGCGTGCTGGGGAGGGGGGGCACGATCCATTTTCAAGTACTACCAAGCGGGCCACTCGCGCGCGCCGGCCGCGCGCGCGCGTGTCGAAGTCCTTCCAACGCCTTCATCACCGACGCGAGGTCGTTGTCATCGTCATCGGCGCGATCAGCATCGGCGCCGTCATTGGCCTTGCCGCCGTCATCGTCGTCATCCTCGCAGTCATGGCTACTTTCGTCATCGTGTCCACCGTTGTCGACGTCGCCATGATACCGTGCCTGCTCAAGTCACCGACTCGCACTGAGGTGCCCGCTGAACAGTGCCCGGCGGTCAGCGCCACCGCGGCAGTGTCGGTCTCGCCAGACTAGCTGGCCGCTGCGCGCGCGAGCATGCGCGGGCAAGCGTGGCGCAGAGATGTAGCAGCCAGCGCCAAGTACTCACTGCAATCGCCGCCGCATGCGTTTTGCAAATTAAGTTGCGGCTGGGCGGGTGGGATGATTGCGCGAGCAGTGGAGTTGACAACTCCAAGTGGTTCCCAACCATCCTGTGAGGAGACAGCGCCCCGCGTTCCTTCCACCGGACTTGCCAGACACACGACATGCTGGACCCACCGGATCCACCAGGCCCACCGGACTCATTAGACCTACCGGGTTCACCGGACCTACCTGACTCACTAGACCCTTTGGGCCCACCCGACTCACCAAGCCTACCAGACTTACGGGACTCACCGGACCGATGATGGTGAAGACGAGGTAGGTCAATAATCAGTTGATCATGATCACGGTGGCGATGGTGATGATGAGAATGATGACGATGCGATTCATTTCGGATGATTATGATGATGGTGATGATGATGATGTTGGTGATGATGATGGTGTTGGTGATGATGGTGGTGATCATGATGGCGCGATTGATGTTGATGGTGACATTTGATGATGTTGAGGACTATGATGATGTAGATGCGATTGTTGATGTTGACGGTGACGGTGACGTAACGACGGTGATGCGGTATCGGTTTGTGTGGAGGATGATGGCAATATCCCAGTGCGACCCTACCTAGGAGTTGGAGCATTTAGGAAAGCAACATCTACATCTACACCGACAGCTACCCTTACATCTACACCTGCATCTACATCTACATCAACATCAACAGCGAGACTCACATCAACATCTACATCTACACCTACATGTACATCTACATCTACACCTACATCCACATCTACACCTACACCTGCATCTACATCTACATATACATCTACACTTTTGCATTGGTGCTGCTCTTGCTTTGCATTGCCGTTGTTTTTGCTCTTGCCGTTGGTTGTGCTTTTGCAGTTGACTTTGCTTTGATTGTTGCTTTTGTTTTGCTTTTGTTGTTGCTTTTGTTTGATTTTGTTGTTTTGCCTTGCCTGCGCACAGGCACACACATGTTATGCTATGCTATGCTGCGCTGTGCTATGCTAAGCAATGCTAGCTATGCTACGCTACGCTATGCTGTGCTATGCTGCGCTATGCTATGCTATGCTGAGCTATGCTATGCTTGGCTATGCTATGCTATGCTGTGCAATGCTGTGCGAATGCTGCGCTAAGCTAAGGTAAGCTAAGCTAAGGTAAGCTAAGCTATGCTCAGCTAAGCTAAGCCAAGCTAAGCTAGGCTAGACTAAGCTAAGATAAGCTAAGCCAAGCTAAGCCAAGCTAAGCTAAGCTAAGATGAGCTAAGCTAAGCTTAGCTTAGCTAAGCTAAGCTAAGCTAGGCTAGGCAAAACTAAGATAAGCTAAGCTTAGCTAAGCTAAGATGAGATAAGGTAAGCTAAGCTAAGCTTAGCTCAGCTAAGCTGGGTGAACCCAGGGAGCGCAACTGGGGGAACCGCGGGGCGGATACCGGGGGAGCCGCCCGGTGCGGTTTCCGCTGCCCGGCCCCTTTAAGAAAGAGAGTAAGAACCCTCTAGGCAGAGCATAGGTAGGGAATAATGTTGTTGATGATGCGAATGATGTAGATGGCGATGACGACGACGTTGTTGATGACGCTGCTGTTGATGATGATGGGGATGAGAATTGCAATGTTGAGGTGTTAAGGCTACGACTTTAGGGTGAACGTGTTCAGGTATGGTTCCAGCTGTTAGGGTTCGTCCCCGCGCCCAGGATGAAGCGGGGCAGATGTTTTGATTTTTTCTCTTATCGAAATCGCCGCTGGGTCAAATACCTTAACCAGAATGGCATTCCTCGTCTTGCTGTTTGCCTCTGCGGTTCTCGTAGGCCGCCGTGGTGATGAACGCCAGGGTGTTGATGTTGCTCATGATGACTATGGTGATGAAGATGATGATGATGATGATGATGATGATGATGACGATGACGGTGATGATGATGTCGAGGATGCTGCTGATGATGATGGAGATGATTTTGATGATGGCGATAATGATCATGATGGTAGTGATGGTGTTGGTGATGATGATGATGATGATGATGATGCTGATGAGGATGAGGATGAGGGGGAGGAGGATGCACAGGATGAGGACGAGGATGATGGTGAGCATGAGGAGGATGAGGGGGAGCATGCGAATCAGGATGAGGATGAGGATAATGAGGACGCTGATCATGATTATGATGATGATGCTGATGATGATGATGATGATGATGATGATGATGATGATGATGATGATAATGACGAGAGGGAGGAGGAGGAGGAGGAGGAGGAGGAGGAGGAGGAGGAGGAGGAGTCGGAATAGGAGTAGGAGGAGGAGGATTAGATCGAGGTGGGTGAGGATGCGTAGTCAGCCCAGGAAGAGGAAGATGAACATCTAATGTGATGAACGAAGGATGCGCGTGAAGGATGAAGAGGTGGGGGGGGCGATCGTCAGGCGGAGCAAGTGGACGACTGGGAAACGACGAATGAGGATGACGGCGATGTTGGTAATGTTGCTGCTCATGGTGACGGTGCTGATGATGCTGTTGATGATGATGCTGATGATGATGCGGTGGTTTCATAGTATGAGGACGAAGAGAAGGAGGAGGAGGAGGAGAAAGAGGGGAGGAGACGGAGGAGGAAACGGAGGAGGCGACGAAGTGGGACGCGATCCTGGTTTGAGGCTCAAGGATCCAGCACCCAGCACCGATTGGTTTGGTTGTTCTTTTCCCCCATCAATCTCGGAGCCTCCTTCGGGCATGGGGGAAGAGGTAATGATGATGATCGATGGTGGTGAAGATGATGGCGGTAAACATGGTGCTGGTGTTGGTGTTGCTGTTGTTGTTGTTGCTGATGATTGCGATGCTGATAACTCGTATGATTCCGATCATGACTATGACGATGATGGGGCGGATCAGGATGAGGGAGGCCGGGTAGTGTTGAGGATACGTATCGTTACGAAGTTGGTGGGGATGCAGATGTTCCTTGTGATGATGATTCTGATGGTGATGTTGGTACCGATGATGAGGGGAAGGGGGGGATTGTCATACTGAGCCCGAGGATGGTGATGCTGCTCAGTATGGTGATGCTGATGATCATGGTGATGATGATGATGATGATGATGATGATGATGATGATGATGACGATGGTGCTGATGCTGATGATGGTGATGATGTTTATTATGGTGATGATGCTGATGCTGATGCTGATGATGGTGTTGGTGTTGGTGCTGTTGATGATGATGATGATGATGGTGATGATGAGTGTGATGGTGATGGAAATGATGGTGATGATGGTGATGATGGTGGTGGTGGCGATGCGGGGATCCATATGATGAGGACGCGGGTGAGGAGGATGCGCAGGATGAGGGTGAGGATGGTAGTGGGTATGAGGACGCAGAGGAGGAGGAGGAGGAGGCGGAGGAGGAGGAGGAGGACGAGGACGAGGACGAGGAGGAAGATGAGGAGTAGGGAATGGAGGAGAAGGAGGACGAGGAGGATGAATATGAGGATGCTGATGGTGATGATGATGCTGATGAGGCTGATGATGATGCTGATGATGATGATGATGATGATGATGCTGATGATGATGATGATGATGATGATGCTGATGCTGATGCTGATGCTGATGCTGATGCTGATGCTGATGAGGAGGAAGAGCAGCGTTTGGCCATTTCGTCCCCTCTTGTACCCTGCCATTCCTTCTACCCCTCCCCCCCCCATGTTTCCGCTTTCCCTTCCTGCGCGGGCCAGGGGTCGACGTACGCGCTGGGGTCGGACGTTGGGTCGGCCCCGCAGCCGAAGAAGGCGGGGGTGGCCGAGGGGAAGAGGGGGGTGAGGGCGGCGGAGGAAGACGAGGAGAAGGATGAGGAATCTGAAGAGTGCAAACCCAACGCGCATCAACGATGTTGCAATCAACCCTCCATCCAGGCTCCCTCTTCAGAGGTCACTGCAAGAATTCATTTCATTGCGGGCAGTGCCCTATTCGACGACAACCGTTTGAGAATTCCCAGCCGTACCCAAAGCACAGTTCTTCACGCTTCGCGTATCCCTACCAGTTTCCGTAGCCCCCCTGGCTCAAGTACGAAACCGTCGCTCTGCGGCTTCGTGCTTGTCTGCTGCCGTGGGGTTGGCACGAGGCGTGCGCGCCTGCAGCAGGCTTTCTTTCTTCTCGCACGATCCCCACGGTGAGCCCTCGTGCGGCCGTGGGTCTCTCAGGTGCGCACTCGGGCCCGGGCCATGTCCGCCCTCTCGGGGGCCGCGCTGCGACGCCGCCAGCGGCTGGCGGCGGCGCGGAGGGACGCCGCACCTGGACTCTCCGGCCCTCTGCCGCCGCCGCCGCTGCCGCCGCCGCCGTCGGAGGCGGCCGGCTGGCTGGCGGTGGTTTCCGCCGCCGCCGCCGCCGCCGCTGCCGCTGCCGCTGCTGGCTCCCCGCCGGCGGCGGCGGCGGCGGAGGGCGCTGTGGCCGGCGCCGCCGCGGCCGCCCCTGGAGCCGCCGGCGGCGCGGCCGCCGCCGCTGCTGCCGCCGCTGCCGTCGCCACCGCTGCTGCCGCCGCCGCCGGATCCCCTCCGGCGGTGGCGGCGGCAGCCGGCTCCGCGACCGGCGTGGCGGCCGCTGTCGCGGCGGACGCTGCTGCCGCCGCTGGGGCTCGTGGGTCCCGAGCACCTAGCCCTGCCCATTCCCCCTCGGCTGGGGGCGAGGTTCTGGCACGGACCCACAGGACAATTTGGGAAGGACTGCCAGACGAAAGCACAGCTGTATCCGTAAAAGGAAGCAATGGACAGGCAAACAGTTCCCCCCAGCGGTGACAGAAGATCCTCCGCAGAGGACGACTGAGAGATCAACCAGAGAGGACATGGGCCGCCCAGCTCGGACACACAGTGCCGACCCCTCCTTCTCCTCCTCCAATTCACCTGATTGTGCGGCTATCGGCTGCGACTCCTCCCCTTCTCCTCCTCCTCCTCCTCCTCCTCCTCCTCCTCCTCCTCCTCCTCATCCTCCTCCTCCTGATGGGCTGGCCAACATTTCCCCCCCAGCGGTGACAGAAGATCCCCCGCAGGGAGCGGCGGAAAGATCAACCAGGGACGACGAGGACAGCCCAGCTCGAACACACAGGGCCGATCACTACTGCGACCACGACCACGTCGACGACGACCACGACCACGACGGCTACGAAGACGACCGCGACCACGACCGCGGCGTCGACGACGACGACCACGACCACGAGCACGACCACGACGTCGACCACGACGGCGACCACCAAACGACAGACGACCATTCCGGGGATCCTGCCACGCACAACGACACATCGGAGCATAGCGGCAGCAGCAGCGGCAGCGTGCCACCCCCAGTTTCGTCGACAGACGAAAACGTCCCAGAGGGGAATCGAGAGGCGGTTGAGGCTGAGGACACGATACCACCCCCCGCATCGTGGACAGACGACGATGTCCCAGTGGGGAATCGAGAGGAGGTAGCCTACAGTGACCAGTGCGTAGCTCACACCAACGACCCCCCCCTCCAGCAGGGCCAACAGGCCAGAGGAAAGGAGTGGGAAATCGCGGCGGAGGCTGCGGAAACCGCGGAAAATCCCCCTCAGGACAATCAGTCCGTCAGCAGTCCTCTGGGATGTACTGCTCGTACTAACGACCCCCCCCCTCCAGCAGGGCCAACAGACCAGAGGAAAGGAGTGGGAAGTCACGGCGGAGGCTGCGGAAGCCGCGGGACATCCCCTTCAGGACATTCAGTCCGTCAGCAATCCTCCGGGAGAGCCACGCGCACAACAGGGGGACCACGGAGCAACCACCCAGACGCAGGACAACGAAGCCATACGCTGGCTCGTCGAGAGAAATCTCTTCGCGCCTATTCGCCTCCCGTCCCCTGTCAGTGAGCTTCTTATGGACGGCGAACCCCAGACGCCCTCGTCAGGCGTCCAGGACACCACTGGCAAAGCAGCGTGCGCCCCGGCTATTGAAGCTGCGCCGCCGAGTGCACACGCGCCCGGCACAGCCAGCGGCACCCCGGAGGCAGCGACGGCGGGCACATGCCCGAGGGCGAACGTCAGCGAAAGGGGCCCCTCCCCACGTATGAAGACCGAACTGTATCCAGAGAAGGAGGCAACACATTCCCCCCGCCAGTGGTGACAGAAGGCCCTTCACAGGCCCACGCGGAAAGAACAATCCCAGAGGACACGACCTGCCCCATGCGAGCACACATCGCCCTCCCTCTCCTCCTTCAATTTACCAGATCTTGCGGCTATCGGCTGCGCCTTCTCCTTTCTTCCTCCTCCTACTGCGCTGGGCACGCCCGCGCCGTCCCCGGCGGCTGGAAATGAGGCCCTTGGACGTGCCCGCGGGGCGGTTGTGGCAGGATTGCCAGACGAAGATCGAGTTGTATCCAGAGAGGGAGGCAACACAATCCCCCCGCCTGTGGTGACAGAAGACCCTGCACAGGCCCATGCGGAAGGAGCAACCACAGAGGACTCGACCTGCCCCATGCGAACGCACATCGCCGACCCCTCCCTCCCCTCCTTCAATTTACCAGATCTTGCGGCTATCGGCTGCGCCTCCTCTCCTCCTCCTCCTACTGCGCAGGGCACTCTCGCAGCAGGACATGGGCACAACCCCCATCCTGGCACAGGCCTCCCAATAGTGAGCTGTCCCCCCCGCGCCGTGCCAGAGGAGCATCCCCAGGCAGAGGCAGAGGCAGACGACTCGGGCCACTATACGCGGACGCACATGCCCGACTCCTCTCCCCACTCTTTCAATTCACCCGATTTTGCGGTTATCGGCTGCGCCTCCCCTCCTCCTCCTCCTCCTCCTCCTCCTCCTCCTCCTCCTCCTCACGCCACGCAGGGTGCTCTGCCAACTGCCCACGAACGCTCCCCCGTTCTGGTCATAGGTGCATCGGGCCACAAGGCTGCGTCTACCCAGGCCGCCCGACACGATCCGACCCCAGCCTGGCGGCCAACCGTGCGGCCTGCATTTCCCCGCAAAGCCCTGCCAGGCGTGCAGCTGGAGCTGTCGCGAGCAGATCGCGAGCCCCCCAGCCAGGACAGCCAGGCCCTTACGGTGGAGACTTGCGGCCAGGACACACGGCCGCACCAGAGGCCCGACCCGCGTCAATGGCCAGAGCCTAAAGACCCCGACACGGGGCAACAGCTGTACAAAACAGGAATCGACAACATCCAGTGGGACCTCCCCGGGGAGACGCCCGGCGAAGCGATACGACGACTCCAAGCCACACTAGGACCGACGTTCACTGGCACCTGGCACGCTTTCGCCAAGCGGCGGTCTGCGCCGGGCAGCAAGGGCGCGCTCGACCCGCTTCGGCACGACCCGCAAACCTGCCACCTCTTCCTGGAATCCTTCCGCAGCCACAAGTGTGACGTACGGGTCCTCAGCGACGCGCTGGGGCTCGACGTCGAGTGGACTCGGCCGTGGCAGCTGCACCTGGGTCGTAGCGGAGGTGGGAGCGGTGATCACCACGCGGCAAAGGGACACCCGAGCAACCAGGCCCCCAAGAAGCGCAAGAAACAGTGGTGTGCAGTCTCCCCACAGTAGCCTTGCCACCCCCCTCTGTGGTCAGCACTGCGTCGGAGGAAACGCGCTGCGTGGGTGACGGATTGGCTGGTCCCCCCAGGAGCGGTCGCAATAGGCGCGCAGTGAACACTGGGTTTTGTTTCACGCTCTGTGTGCTCCGCCTGGGCACACTGCCTGGTGACGGACCACCAGCTTCCCCCCCCCACACTGGCATGGCGCTCTGTTCCCCCCGCGGTTGCCGCGGATCCCCCGAAGCGCACAGTGGAGGGGGCACAGAGGCCACTGCGCCCACAGGTTCTCCACTGGCGTCGCCTCTCCTCCTCCTCCTCCTCCTCCTCCTCCTCCTCCTCCTCCTCCTCCTCCTCCTCTCGTGCTGATGCGCCGCGCTGTGCCGCACGGATTCTCCCCATTGTGACTCCGCCGGAGCACTCGAGAGGAAGTCTCGGCGGTGTCGGCGGAGGCTGTGGAAGCCGCGAAGTTCCCCCCTCTGGCCGTGCCGTCCGAGAGCTGTCCTCTGTACCAGCTGGACTGAAGCTCGGCGTGGGAAGTCCCGGCGGGACGGCGGAGGCTGTGGTCAACACCACGTCGGAGGAAACATGCTGCGTGGGCGTCGTATTGTCTGGTCCCCCCAGGTGCGGTCGCCAAAGGCAAGCAAAAGGCTACTGGGCTTCTTTGTGGAAGTCTGTCTTTCCGCAAGGAACGGTGGAGGGACCACGGTTGCCGCTGCATTCACTCAGCGGGATGTCTTCTGTCAATTCGTTTTCCGCGGCGTTTCCCCGCGAGTTGCTACCATGGTATGTGTCTCGACATCTGTCTCGTTCAGAATTCTTCACGCTTCGCGTATCCCCACCGGCCCATCTCAAAACAGCAACTCTAGCGAAGCATGCCGACTGTCGTGTTTTTTTCAGGCGTGTTTCCGCCTGCCCCCGCATATCTCCCCTGTTCCTCCTTCCTCCCGCCTCCTTGTACATCCTCCTTGCGGTGGGAGCGGGAGAAGGACGAGGCGGAGGAGGAGGGAGAGAAAGCGCTCCTCGTGGTTTGAGTCGTTCGGGCTTCTCGTCCTGGTGTGAGTCGTTCGGGCCCTTCTTCCTGGTGTGAGTCGTTCGGGCTCTTCGTGGTGTGAGTCGTTCGGGCTCTTCGTCCTGGTGTGAGTCGTTCGGGCTTCTCGTGGTGTGAGTTGTTCGGGCCCCTCGTCCTGGTGTGAGTCGTTCGGGCCCCTCCTCCTGCCCGTCCAGAAACGACGCCCAGGCGAGTAGAGGGTCGTCTTGATGGGCTTTTCGGCGTTTTGGGTGCCTCGGGGGGGCCTCTTTGGGCCGTTTGGGATCCTCTTGGGGGCCTCCTGGGGGCCTCTTGGGGCCATCTTGGGGCCTCTTGGTGCCTCCTGGGCGCTTCTTGGGGCCATCTTGGAGGAAATCGATCAAAGAAGAGGGGAGCTTTAATTAGCGTTGCCCCTTCAAAAGGCCAAAATGGGGCCAAAACCTTAGTAAAATCAATGATTTTGGCTTGAAAGCAGAGGGGAGCTTTAATAGCGATGCCCCCTCAGAAGGCCCAAATGGGGCCAACAATCGTAGTAAAATCAATGATTTTGGTTTCAAAGAAGAGGGGAGCACTTTTCTGCCCCCCCCCGTCGGGGCCAGAATCCTCGTGAGGGGTGTCGTTTTTTAGCCCTCCCAGGAGTCGAGAAAGACCCCTCCAACGACCCGCGGGGCGCCCTCTCCAGGCCCAGGGGGAGGGGGTATGGGGGAGGGGTAAGCCCCTCCCCGAAGGGGAAGAAGGGGGTTGAGAACAGAGCGGGCTCTCTAAACCACTCACGCCCAAAGGGCTGGTGGGACTTTTACTTTTTTTCTTGGCTGTTGTCCACGTGCTGCGTGTGTGGCTATACCGTCGGCCTCAGTTTTTTTCTCCTCTGTCTACGTGCTGCTCGTGTGGCTACGCCGTGGACAGTTTGGCTGTCTACTCTGAAACCCACCTTCTCTGTTGATTACGAGTTGCACACCGTACTCTTCAGCGCGACTGGGCGCCTCATGCATCCTCCCTCTTGGTCCTGACGGGCTGTTGTTGGACGCGCCGTGCTTCTCCATCGGCGGAACATACTGTGTGGGCAAACGAGTGACAGGCCCTCCGGTGCTGTGTGGGTGACAACGACAGGCCCCCCCAGGAGCGGTTGCAATCCCCACCAGCACACACGGGCAGCGTGGCAGGTGTGGTTCTGCGACTGCGCGACGCTTCCTCCGATTCCGACTGCGTCCCCAGGGCCGACGTCGGGGCCGACTGCGTCGCCTGGCCCGGCTTTGACTGCGACGCAAACGGCGCCGACGACGGGGACGACGGGGCCGGCGGCCGATGGGGTCGCGGTCAGTGAAGACCCTCCGGAGGGAGCGGTGGAGGGGTCGCAGAGGTGGCCCCAAATGACAGCGCATTCCCCCGCAGTGGTCCGCGGTCTGTTCCCCCCGCGGTCGCAGAGGACCCTCTGCAGCGCACGGTAGAGGGATCGGTGTTTTTTTGGGCAAGTGACAGCGCTGTCCCCCACTGGGGTCTTGCGCTCCGTTCCCCCCGCGGTCGCAGAGGACCCTCCGCAGCACATGGTGGAGGGATCACATAGGCCTCTGCACTCTCAGTGTCTCCATTGGCATTGCCCCTCCCTCCTCCTCCTTCTCTCCCTGCTTCCCCCAGTCGGCGGCGCTCTGCTCAAGGCACTGTCCCCCCTACTGGGCTGGCGCTCCGTTCCCCCCGCGGATCCCATCGTCCCACACCTGGCACTCTTTCCACACTTCCCACCTACGGTGGCCCCGGTCATGTGGCCTCGTCCCCCCCACCTGACGGGCACCTTTCCCCCCCCCAAGTTCCAATCTTGCAACGCACACTGTTGGGTTCTCTGCGGTCACCGCCGCCACCTGGCCCACTGGCATTGCCCCTCTCCCCTCCTCCATTCATTTACCTGACTTGCGGCTATCGGCTGCGCCTCCCCCCCCCTCCTCCACGCACTCGGACGTGGTGTGCCACGCCACTCGGCTTCCCCCCATCGCGGCAACTTTCACGCACCTGCTCCGAGGTAGTCACACCTATCCAACCGGCGGGGTGCGCTCACCCGCTGGCTCCGGTGGGTGGGCCTGGGGAGGCAGGGTTCCTGTACAAGTGGTCCATCTTTTGGCAGGTCTGAGCCTTCCCATGGCAGGCCCGTCCGTCCGGCCCTCGGCGTCGCTTGTGACATCGCCCCCTTCCTCTGGACGGACTTGTTGCTCGCGTTCGCCAACGTCGCCAACGACCGTTTTCATGGTGCACGGCGCACGAGGCCCACGACTGCCCAGCGGTTCTCCCACGGGCAGGTCCGTAGGCCTCCCGCTGGGTGGTTCATCCGTGGTACCACGCAGCGTTTCCCTCCATCCACAGTGGCAAGGAGGTTGCAGGCTGGGGCTCTGACGACTTGGCCGCCGACGCCTGTCAAGGTTCGACGCACCTGTCCTCGAGCACTCTAGGTGCGCTGTGAGTGAGGCTGCCTTCCTTCCCCCCTCCCCTCGTCGCCTCCTGCGCCTCTGTGACCCCCTCTGTCCCCTCGTCGCCTCCTGCGCCTGTATCCCCTTCTGCTCCTCCTCGCCGCGTTTGGCGGTGCCTTTCCTCGGGTTCTGTGCTGCCCGCACAGCGTTCCCGTCTTCTTGCAGGCTTGGTCTGTGGGGGCTGGCGCCACAGTGCGACCCTCCGCTGGCTTTTCCAGTTTGCTGCCGTCTTCCGATCCCGTGTCGGCTCTAATGAGGTTCATTTTGTCCCTCGCACGTGCATTGCGGCGTTGGCCTATGCGCCTTGCTTGCCAATCGTCTCGCATTGCGCCCCTGTCGAGATTTACCCGTTCTCTGGAGCCGTCCTTTGAGCCGCAGATCAAGAACAAGTATCCCCACCAGCCCGCGCTACTTTGGCCGCGCTGAGCTCCGCGGGGCTTCTGAGGGGGCCGCTCCTGCTCGCTGTTTGTTCCTTCCGTTGGCGCGTAGCCCGCCCGTCTTACGCGGCTTTCGACTTGCTTCGCGGACCCGCGTACCAAAACATATCCCCATCAGCCCGTCCACAAACGTTTCCCATGCGATCTGGCGGGAAACGGGGCGAATCCACACATGTAGCGAAGCAGTGCGGGCAACCAGAATGAACAGAGACAACGAAAGAGGAACAACGGAGGTGAGAACGACGGGCGAGAAGAGAGGAAGAGGAGAGGGAGGAAAAGGAGGAGGAGGAAAAGGAGGAGGAATAGGAGGAGAAGGAGGAGAAGGAGGCAAACCGCCTCTGGGGGCCCTCATGTGACGCTCTCGGGGCGCTCTTGGGCGCTCTTGGGGCCGTCTGGGGACAGTCGTTTGGCCCTCTTGGAGCCCTCTTGGGCCTCTCTTGGGGCCCTCTTGGGAGCCCTGGAGGGCCCTTTTGAGGCCATCGTGGGGGCTGTCGATTGATGGAGGGAGGGTCCTGAATTCCAGTTCGCTCCCAAGAGCCCTCGACATCGCCTCTTGGAGCTCTCTTGGGGCGCCGTTGGGCTGCTCTTGGGCGCTCTTGGGGCCTGCTGGGGGGCCCATTGGGCCCCATTTTGGGCCTCTCTTGAGCCATCTTGGGACCATCTCGAAGCTTCGAAAACACATCGGAATCGAAGATGCGAGACGGTTCATCTCATTGAGTTGTCCTCGTTGACTGAAAGATGAGGGCCTATCGAGAGGTCCTGGGGAAGCTCCGAGAGCACTTGAGGCCGTCTTGTGGCCTTGGCTGGGCCTCTTGGAGGTATGTCGGAAGCTATCGTCGGCTATCTTGAGCCGTCTTGGAGCATCGGGTGCCCTTACGGGGTCATGTTGAGCCATTCTGGGCGTCCTGTCACCTCGCACTTCCGCCCCTACAAGAAAATTTGGGTAGGGGTGGGGGAGGTTACCCTTCCGAAGGGAATATAATTTTCCGAAGAGGGGAGAAAGCACTCCCTAAGTAGCCACCTTCGCCCAAAGGGTTTGTGGGACTTCTTGGACTCAGCGCCGCGAAGCAACGTTAACGCTATGCCCTGACAGTCTTAAATTGTGCCAGAACACCAGTCCTGGGACATGGAGCCAACGTGAACTTCACGTCCCGACAATCCTACTTCGTGCAGGAATGCAGTTTCTGGGGCTTCAACCATACGAATATTTGGAATTGCTGCAGCACTTGAAAACGAATGCGTGCGTCTCCGAGGCGAGAGTCACATTTTGAAAAGGAGCCATCATCCATGAGCGAAGCGGCTGCAAACTTTTAAAGTAGATACGCGTTGCGCTAGAGCGAGCGCCAGATGTGGACAACGACTCGCCCTCCATCTGCGAAAGTGTTGCGATCTTTGGGGGCGGATGTTCTCGGCACCGAGGCGATAGCCTCATTTAGAAGCACCCGCCCTCCATTCGTGAAGCTGCTGCAAACATTGAGGGCACACGTGCGCGGCGCGACGGCGAGAGCCACCCTTTATCACGTCCGGAGGTGCGGCAGGATTTACTGATGAGGAAAGGGGTAGGGGAGCAGTCGGAGGACGAGGAACGACAGGGGAGGAGGAGACAGAAAGAGGAGGATGGCGGAGGAGGGAGGATGGGGGAGAGCAAGCAGGGAGCAGGAAGGAGGAGGCGGGGAGAGGAGACCTCTCTCGCGCCACGTCGAACACGGCAGGCGCCGGCCCCGCTTGGGAAGGAGGAGGGAGCAGCACGGAGAGAGAGAGCATATCCTAAGTATGGGCTTCTTGCTATTCGTGTGATGCTTCCACATCCCTCCTTCCTCCTTCTCGCTTCTTCCCTCCTCCCCCACAGTCAGTCTCGCTCACACTCAGACTCACTCGCACTCAGACTCGCTGTCACAGACTCACACTCAGCTCACACTCAGGCTCATTCAGATTCAGACTCACGCACAGACTCAGCCTTACTCACACTCAGACCCATCCACACTAGGATTTACTCATGCTCAGAGCCACTCGTACTCAAAGCCACTCATACACAGTGCACTCACCGAGAAGAAGGAGTGGAAAGAGTGGAGCGAGGACGCACAACGAGACAGGACGGATTTTGATCATGTGTTTGTTGTTATTTCCGTTCTCTCGTTCTTGCTGGCGTCGGCGAGCCCCCTCCCCCAGGGCATGTGGAGCAGTTGGTTCTGGGAGGACGGCAGCGTCAAGCTCTGGCAGTTGTTGCTCGTGGTGGCCTTGGGTTGAAGGGCAGTGATGCCACCCGTGCGCGCCGACTCGTGATGGTGCATGTGCGCTCGGGAGGTTTGTTGGGCGCGCCCTTGGTGGACCTCTGGCGGCCTTCGGAGACTTCCCACTTGGGTCTGCATTGCGGGATGCTGGGAGGGCAGTGGTTCGGTGAACTCCGGCGCGGGCGTTCGCGGTTGAGCACCGCCTGTGGCCCCAGATTTGGCCGGCACCGGACGACCCGCGTGGTCAGAACGCCACGGTGGTGCAATGTCGAAAGGTGCGCGTGGTGCCAGAAGCCAACGCGCAGGGTCGTCACAGCACGAGGCCGCGCGAAGGTCTTTGCGTGCCCGTCCCTCCGCGGCAGCTGCGGGCAGCGGAAGGCCAGGGCAGGCGCGGGAAGCACGATTCTTGTTCATCCCTCGACCTTTCTCCCTCGCTTCCCACCCCTTCCCCTCCTCAGCCCTCCCCTTCCCCCCCTCGTCTCTCTCTCTCTCATCCTTCTCCGCAGACTGCGTGCTGAGACGCGATCGCAATGCCGAGTCCGACCCGATCCGAGCCTCCTCTGTGAAGATCCGCAGGGTCTGTGGCACAGTAAAAACCAAGGAGTGCCCGCCACAGGAGAGGTGGCCTCAGAAACAGATGTAACGCATTGTGCAAACGCAGCGCCGCTAATCAGTTGGAAAACGATAAGAGCAGGGCCGCTGGAAAACTGTCTCACAGTGCCTGCTGCCGTACGGCGATGGATTATTTGTCACGATGCTCGGCACCCCTAGAGGCCCTCCCCCATGCTACGGTCTCCTTGGAGCTCAAGGGTCTCTCAGGTACGGTGCGGGTCTGTCAAAGGATTGGTCCTTGTGGTGTCCCGCTGGAACTCCCGAAGGCATCTGGGGAGCTCGAACAGGGAAAGGAGATGTGATGAGATGTGTGTGGGGCGTGTGGGGGGGTAGGGATTGCGAAATAAAGGTGGACGTGTTGCCTCCCCGCAACCCTCCTCTCTCCCTCCCTGACATCGGCCCCCTCTGTCCATTACCACCTCCCTCTCCTCATCCCACCTTCGTGCCCTCGAGAGTCCCTTCAACAGGCAGCGTCTGCGCCGCGGGCAGCAGCTCAGGCTCAAGCCGTTCGCCCCGCGATCGCAAAGGCACTCTCAAAAGTTCAACTCCTCACACAACACACAGATTGGACACATGTCCACGGTAAACCCTACATCAGCTCTCTCTTCTGCCGTCAAGGACACCATGCCGCTGAAGCTGCACTTTGCGAACGACGGCAGCCTCGTCGCTGACGGCGACGCTCCTCCCTCCAGCGTTGACCATGATCAGTCCGACACCGACGAGGACCTCACCCCGCAGACCATCGGCCTTCCCCCGGGGCTTTCCCTGGACGCGGGCGGGGTGTATTCTGCCAAGCGCACGCCTCTCCGCAGCAAGGCCGCCGTGTATACGCCCCTGCGCAGCCACGCCGAGGCCTTCGTCCCCAAGGGCCTCGCGCTCGCGGGGGGCGAGCGCGTGTCTTCGAGAGCGCCCAGTGGCGGCGCCGACCCGAAGGCCACCCCGTGGACCACGGTGATGATGCGCAACGTGCCCCTCTCGTACACGTGCGACTCGCTGATCGATCTGCTGGAGTCCAAGGGCTTCGCGAAGTGGTTTGACTTCGTGTACGTCCCCATCAACTTCACCAAGTGTCTCGGCGTCGGGTACGCCTTTGTGAATCTTACCACGCCGGAGCGCGCGGAGGAGTTCATACTCGCATTCGAGGGCTTCGATGGCTGGGACTCGTCGTTCTCGAAGACGGCGTGCTCTATGCACTGGAGCGTCTGCCAGGGCCTCAGTGAGAACATCAGCCGCTATCGAAACAGCCCCTTGATGAGCGAGGACGTACCAGCGTTCTACAAGCCCGTCCTCTTGGAAGACGGCGTGCGAGTCCAGTTCCCGGGGCCCACGAAGCAATTGCGCACCCTGAGGCGCCGCAAGGCCAAGGGAGAAGAGGGCGAGGAGTGAGCGATCCAGAGCAGACCGGTCCGCATACGTCTGCTGCCTGTGTGCGACGCGAAGCTGCCCGCATTGGATCTGTCCGTCGGACCTGTTCCGCTTCCGCATGGCGCAGCAGCCCCTACTCCATGCTCCATACGTAACCCCCTCGCAGAGCTTCGCTATGCTCTCCTGGGCCTCAGTCTTCACTGTGAGCGGGCGTGCCGAGGGTTAGGAATGAAGACAGAGCGGTCCAGCAGATTGTGCGGCAGCTACAGCAGATTGTGCGGCAGCTACTGGGCGTGTCTCTGACATCGAGAAAAACTGTCCGCCGCCCGTCCGTGCAACTGCTAGGCACGTTGAGGACCCATGTTTGCGGCGCTGAGGCGAAAGCCACACGTTGCAAGGCACGTTACCTTTACCCACGTCATGGTTGGAAGATTTGAGGACGCAGAGCGGTCCCAAGAAGGCGAGAGCCACACATGTGCGCGGTACCAGTGCGAAAACCCTTCCATATCCGTAAGGGGTTCGCCCCCTGCCGCCGGCCCCCTCTCTACCATAATGGGATATATCAGAGTCGCGTCGGTGCGTCTCGGCGCTGCCTTGGCGCATCTGGGGACACCATGTGGGGGCGGATACGACTCATCAGCGCATATTGAGACGTTGGCGTTATCGAAGGCGCCCACGGCGAATCATCGCCGCACCCTGCCTTTTGGAATCGCCCATATGGCCGAGCGGTGTGGCAAGAGCTCTGCCAAGCTATCGGACCATGTCTTCCCCCAGCCGTTGTGGAAACCCTTCGGGGAACACTCGGGGGAGGATGGCGGGGAAAATCAGGAGAAGGAGTAGGAGAGGGCATCTTGGGAGCCTCTGGGTGCACGCTTGGGGCCTCCTCTTGGGGGCCGTTGGGCGCTTTTCGGGGGCCTCTTTGGCAGTCTTAGGGCATTCCTGGCCCGTCTGACGCCCTCGGGAGCCGTCTTGAGGGCCTCTCTGGGCCGACTTGGGGCCCTCTTGGGGTGCACCAGGGCCGTCTTGCATGCCGTCTTGGTGGCGGAGCCGCGCCAGCGGTGGGCATCGCTTTCTCTACCAGCGCGCCGCGCCAGAGGGGCAGCTGCCCCGATGGCTCTCGGCCGCCCGCGGGGCTGCAGACCGTAAGATGGTCAAGGGCCCTGGGAGGCCCCAGAGCCCCAAACGGCAGCGGCGGGCATGGGCCTCAAGGGGCCCAGGCGAGGCTCAAGCGGCCTCAGGGGCCTCAGGAGATGAAGAGGATGATGAGGTGCACGCGGGGGAGGTAGGGCAGGAGATGGTAGGAATACGCGCACTCCGTCACTTGTGGCCATATTTGGGCCGCTTTGGGGCCTCTTGGGCCATCTTGGAGGCCTCTTGGGCGATCTTTGGGGGCTATTAGGCCGTCTCGGGCCGTAGAAAGATCGAACAATTGCAAGTGGCAATATCCGTCAAGAGCCTAAGGCAAGTCAATGATTGTGGCCTCTTCGGGCCTTCCTGGATGACCTCTTGGTGGCCTCTTGGGCCATCTCGGGGGCCTCTCGGGCCGTCGATGGCAGTCATGTTGGGTCGTCGTGGTGGCCTCCTGGCCCGCCTGACGCCGTCGGAAGCCGTCTTGAGGGCCTCTCTGGGCCGACTTGGGGCCCTCTTGGGGTGTCCCAGGGCCGTCTTGGAGGACATCTTGGGCGTCTTGGAGCTCTTGGGGCCTTTTTGGGCAGTCTTGGGGGCCGCTTGGGCAGTTCTTGGGCCATCTTGGAGGGCTCTTGGGCGATCTTGACGCGACTTTTGGGGGCTCCTGGGCCGTCTTGGGCCGTCGGAGCGCTGAAAAGAAGCAAGTGCGGAAATCCGTCAAAAACCTCAGGCAAATCAACGGTTTTGGTAGATCCAGGCCTTCTGGAGGCCCCTTTGGAGGCCTGTTTGGGCCGTCTTGGAGACATCTTGGGGGCCTCTCGGGCCGTCGTGGGCCATCTTGGAGCCATCGTGGGCAGAATTGGTAGCCTCCTGGGCCGTCTGACGCCCTTGGAAGCCGTCTTGGGTGCCCCTCTGGGCCGACTTGGGGCCCTCTTGGGGTGTTCCAGGGCCGTCTTGGAGGTCATCTTGGCCGGTTGGGGGCCTCTTGGGCAGTCTTAAGGCCGTCTTAGGGGGCCGTTTTCGGGGCCTCTTGGGCAGTCCTGAGGCCATCTCGGAGGCCTCTGGGGCGCTCTGGGGGTGATCTTGGGGTCCTCTTGGGCCGTCGGGAAGCCGAAAAGGAGCAAATACGAAGATCCGTCAAGAACCTACGGGAAATCCATGCTTTGAGCATACTCGGGCCCTTCTGGAAGACCTCTCGGAGGCTTTTGAGCCGTCTTGGAGGCCTCTTGGGCACCTCTTGGGCCGTCTTGGAGGCTTCTTGGGCGGACTTGCAAGAATCTTGGACCATCTTGGGCCGTCCTGGAGGCCATCTTGGACCATCTTGGGCGAACTTAGAGGCCATCTCGGACCAGCTAAGCAGTCTTGGACGCAATCTTGGGCCATCGTAGAGCGGACAAATCATTTACAGGCAGATGTTCGGCGGCTTTCCGGGTGGCCGGCGCGCTGGGCCGCAGCCCCAGGAGGCGTTTTTTTGGAAGAAGAACCAAAACAGAACCAGTAGGGTCTAGCACGCCGGGCACCCCTGTAATGAATCAGCAGGGGGCGGCGGATCGAAGACGCCTACGGCGAATCACCGCCGCCCCCCGCCTTCTAGGATCGCCCATGTTGCCGAGCGTTGTGGCAGAAGCTCTGCCAAGGTATCGGGCCATGTGTTCCCCAAACTGTTGTGGAAATCCTTCGGGGAACACTTGGGGGAGGATGGCGGGGAAAATCAGGAGGAGGAGGAGGAGGATGTGGAGGAGGAGGAGGAGGAGGAGGAGGAGCAGGAGGAGGAGGAGGAGGAGGAGGAGGAGGAGGAGGAGGAGGAGGAGGGGAGGAGGGGAGGGAGGAGGAGGAGGAGAGGAGGAGGAGGAGAGGAGGAGGAGGAGGAGGAGGAGGAGGAGGGGGCATCTTGGGAGCTTCTGGGGGCACTGTTGGGGCCTCCTGGGAGCTTCCTGGAAGCCCCTTGGACCTTTGGGGGCTCCTCGGGGCCTCTTTGGCCGTTTTGGTGGGCTCCTGGCCCGTCTGACGCCGTCGGAAGCCGTCTTGGGGGCCTCTCTGGGCCGACTTGGGCCCTCTTGAAATGCTCCAGGGCCGTCTTGGAGACCATCTTGAGCGTCTTGGAAGCCTCTTGGGCCGTCTTGGGGGCCTCTTGGGGCCGTCTTGGGGGCCTCTTGGGCTGTTCATGGCCCGTACAGGAGACCTCTTGGGCGATCTTTGGGAGCTTTTGGGCCATCTCGGGCCGTCAGAAGGCCGAAAAGAAGCAAATGCCAAAAATCCTTCACAACCCGATGGGACATCACAGATGTTTGCCTTTTCGGGCCTTCCTGGAAGCCCTCTTGGAGGCCTGTTGGGCCGTCTTGGGCCATCTTAGGGTCATCTTCGGCCGTCTTGGTGGACGCATGGCCCGTCTGACGCCGTCGGAAGCCGTTGTGGGGGGCCTCTCTGGGCCGACTTGGGGCCCTCTTGGGTGCTCCAGGGCCGTCTTGGAGGACATCTTGGGCGTCTTGGAGGCCTCGTGGGTCGTCTTGGGGGCCTCTTGGGCCGTTCTGGGGCCGTCTTGGAGGCCTCTTCGGCGATCTTGGGGCGATCTTTGGGGGCTCCTGGGCCGTCTCAAGCCGTCCGAAGGCCGAAAAAAAACAAATGTCAAATAAGCAAATCCATCAGAAGCAGTCGTTTTTGTGCCCTCTTGGGGCCATCTTGGGGGCCTCTTGGGCAGTCCTGAGGCCATCTTGGAGGCCTCTTGGGCGCTCTTGGGGCGATCTGCGGGGCCTCTGGGGCCGTCTTCGGTCGTCGGAAAGCCGACAAGGAGCAAGTACAACAACAACAACAGCAACAACAGCAACACCAACAACATGAACAACAACAACAGCAGCAACAACAGCAACAACAAAACAACAACAACAACAACAACAACAACAACAACAACAACAACAACAACAACAACAACACCGACAACAACAACAACAACAACAACAACAATTACTAGCACGCGGGGACACTCCGTTCTCACCAGTGCCAGGGTTTTCATAGGAGGCGGGCAATACCCCCACTTTGTGGGGGGGCCGGTTCAAGCTCTACCAAATTTCCAAACGACTCTTCGCCACCACCCACACCCAGCTTCCCGCCCTATGACGTTCGGACACTTCACTTCGTGGCATGCGGACGACCGTGGCTACTATTCAGGGCCCCGCGGCCGACGACGACGGCGTGCGCGCGCGAAGAAAAAACGAATGTGTCCCGCATGGTATTATTTGACAGGGATGATGGCCCTGGCAGGTGCGCAACCGTTGTTGCAGAAGTTCGAAAAAGTTGCTCGCAAAAGCCCGTTTGACAGAAATGTTTAAAAAGTGTTGGGTTTCCTACGAATCCGCAAGAGCGCGCGGGATGAAATTTTGACATTTTTTTTTGAAAAACCATTGGTTTTTTATGTTTTTATGTTAAAATCGCTACGAAAACTAAGGTTTTGGACGGATTTCGTCTTGCGCGCGCGAATGTCCACTTTACCTTGTTTTTTTGCAAGGGATTCTTGAAGTTTGGATATGTTAGAACAAGAAATTTCATTTTATAGTGTTTTTTGCAAGGGAAAGCGGGCGTCAACAAAACAACCGGATCTGGATGACATCGTTTTACCTGAGGCTTCCTCACGAAAATGATGAAAACGCGGCTGCGGCCTAGGCGCGGCGGGGGGGGCGTGCGCCAGGGGGCCCAACAATAATTATTCTTTAGAAGTAATAATATTCAACAGCAGCACAAACGAAGGACAATCAATCCATTTAGCCTCTTCGGGCCCTCCTGGCGGACATCTCGGAGGCCTCTTGGACCGTCTTGGAGGCCTCTTGGGCACCGCTTCGGCCGTCTGGGGCCACCTTGAGGCTATCTGAGGCCGTCTTGGAGGCGTCTTGGGCCATCTT